CCCCCCTTTTGTTTGTTTTTTATTCATCGATTAAGAAAGAAAATTGGTTTTCAAGTTTCTGTAGATTCGAGCCTTCTTACCACTGCTACAATATTATTTTATTGGTTAATTAAGAATTTATTTTTAGTGGGTTCGGCTCCTATCAACAATTGTTCCCAAAAATCAAAATGTTGTCTAAGCCAAAAGTAGATCAAGTACCTAAGCCACCTAATATTAACAGAAAAAGTAAAAACATACCCCTTTAAAATCATAGCTGTAATTTCATAGCCTTGTTTAAAATATCTCAAACACAATTATTAAGTAACCTTGGCCATGTTATCATTGGGGGTCTTATCAAAGACCGCCTGGGTTTGTGAGTGAGTGGTTTCATGAATAAACCCACCCATGATTTTTGAACCCCATGGTATTTCTCAAGGTGTGAGTCTTACGTGGAGTCATGATATTTGTAAGCCTTTTGTAGAAATTGATTCCCTCTTTGTAAAGTAACTTTTTGACCAGATCAACACCCACATAATCTGTCTACTAATATGGAGTAACAATTGAGAGACATGTTCTCATCCGGCAACAATGGCTAATGAGACTCCAATGGGTTTCACTATGTTACCTTCTCTCAAAGAGCTCCATCAGTTATTATATTTATAATAGTGTGACATTGTTTGAAGTCGCTTAGTTCCTCTCTAGGCTTTCTGTTGTTTTCGTTCCTCTTTTTTGTAGCCAAAAATATATGATCAACTTTGTTTTTAATTGGTTTTAAATGATGTTTACTTTCATTGTACTTATAACTGTATTTAAAAAATGATTTAATTTTTGTAATCTACGTAAGTGTGCTTATGGAACACCCACATGGGTAAATGTGAATTTGAAAAATTAAACCGTACGTTTAAAAAAAAAAGCACTTGAACTACAAATAATCAAATGGTATATACATAAAATGATTTATTTATTTTTTTTCTAATTTCTATTGCATTAGTAATTGTGGATATTATCATGAATTAGATAAGCTCTAAGAAGACAACATTACGACTGACAAGCAGGCTGCTGCAGGAAGCAGAGCTCGTAGGTTGACATGAATGCTTATCATGGTCAAAGTCAATCAAATTCATGCATATTTTACATCTGGCTTAAAAAGTTCTAGCAAATTCTATTTGAAATTTCACAGCATCCAAACAAGCTGCCTTGGTCTGTACACATTTAAATATAAATACCCTACCACGTCCATAAACTCATCACTTAATTTAAAGTTATAGAAGGAAAAGTAAGAGAAAGAAACCAAAGAGATCGGAAATGGCAACCATATGCAAAGGTACGTTTCTCTTTTTAAATTAGTTTATTTATTAATACAATTAATAGGATTAATTATAATTTGAGTTAATTACTAGACTAACTAAATACAATGTGTGTGTATCTATATATAATATATATATATATATGTATATATATAATGGGGTACAGGTAAAAATTCATGGCCAGAACTCGTTGGAAAAAACGGAGATGAAGCAGCGGAGATCATAAAGAGAGAAAATCCTAACATCGTTGATGCCATTGTGGTGTTGGATGGAAGTGGAGTGATTGGGGACTTCAGATGCAATAGGGTTTGGGTTTTGGTCAACGACTGCAGGATTGTTACTGTAGTTCCTACAATAGGCTAAAAATGTTCAATCGGGTTTGTAGTTTTATTTTCTTAATTAATATATATTTATGTCTAGGGTTATAAATAATATTATTGTAATAAAATAATAAATAAATAAATAATATATTTAAATTTATTTATCTTCTATTTAAACGTATCTTTTTAAAAAATTAAAAAAATAAAAAATAAAAAACTATTTTGGACACATATTATTCAACTTCACATGTTTTAGTATTTTTTATTTTATATTTCTTTTTCAAATATCTTGAGCATAATACTGATGTTAAAGTTAGAAAACTGGCTTACTTTTCTTTGAAATTCACATGAATTTATAGTTGACAAAAAAAAAGTTTGTGAAAATCTTGCTCGGGCCTTTTTTTTGAAAATGAATTCATGTCTGTGCAGCATATTATTGTAGGACTTTAAATTTCATACTTAAACATGAGGATAATAATAATTAAGATAAATGATTCTCTTTGCAATCAGGTAATAAGATTATGGATTGTCTTTTGCACTTTCTTCCATAATAAAAATTGACATCTTATTTGATACTAAAAAATTTTTTATTTTTTTGTCCAACATAAGCAAATTAGATTCAAAAAGTTCAATTAAGTTGGTGCCCCCTTCTGATTTGTTTATTTCGAAGCAACAAGGGATGTATATTATATGATAATATTGGTTTATCACTTGGTTTATCATCTTAACAAAACTAAATTAACATCATTTTCTTCAACAATTTCAGTAATTAACTCTGGAGTTAGACAATATTATCATGTATATATTACCTAAAGTTAAGCATTTTTACTAGCATGTTATGTAAAATATTCTTCCTCCAACATAGTGGAGAATTATGTATTTTTTTACCTTATAGATTCAATATATGGGGAAGACACGGAAACATTATATGCATTATGTGCTTATCAAGTAAGTGTGGTATCTAAACCCTATTTATTTAGAAATTATTGAGAAATATTTTTTTAAAAGTAAAAAATATATATATTCATCAATCAAAAGATATACATACACCAATTACAATACAACATAGATAACTTCCTTAGGAAGACATATATGGAAGTGTAGTTCGACTCAAAACTACAACCTTGTGTAGAAAAAAGAGACATATTAATTCTTAAGTTAAGTAGTGGTAATAAACTATTGATAAATATGAGAGGACAAATTGATGATTGGCTAGTCTACTTTCTTTCATAAGATTGCATTGATTTCAAAAATTAGGAATTATGATCAATAGGGTAATTTGGTCTCTCAACCCATTGGTTTTCTAAGATTTCAAGAGGGAACTTACTAACATCATCCTAATGTTAAGAGCTTAGCCTAGTGGCAGGAACAAATTCAAGGGATAGTTTTTTATTAAGATTTCTGAATGTTTTTGTAATTTTTGTTCTGTTATATATTAGTGTACCAAGTAGTACAAATCACAATTGTATTGTCATGTGCATGAATATTATTGTTATCTCTTTTTCTTGATCAGTTGAGGTAATAGTATTTAAGGATATCAATGCCTACTGAAATCATTGAGAAATATTGAAATATTTTCATTATCCTTCCCTTACTTTTCTTATGTCCTCTCACTTTATTGCTCTACCTTCTTTAGTCTCTCTCTTATTCTTCCTTGGTCACCTTAATATTTTTTGTGTGACTATTAAAATTCATGAGCTAGAATCCTAATAAACTAGTATTAAAGTTTAACAAACCTACGGAGATCGCTTATTCCACTGTTAAGTAGTTAAGAATAAAGACGGATCTATCTTGACTGAGTACCCAATGAATTAACCTAATGGAGGAGTCTTGAAATGGCATGAGCAAAGGCAACAGAACCCATGACACATTATGAAATTGTAGATTCCAAGTTAGAGGAAAGGTTGGATGTCAAATTCTTTGTAAAGTTAGATTCTAAGTTTGCTGATAATAATGTCTAACTTCAACTCGCCATGATCAGCACCTTGAAAATATTACTTAGTAACTCGCAATCCACCTACTAAAACCCCTCATTGTTCCACTTCTCAAGTTGTCCTCTAAACTAACAAATCATAGAGGCTCCACATTTTTCTCTACAAACTTAGCTATCTCTATTAGCATCTAATTAATTCTCACACGAACCTCCAAATCCAACTTACCAATTACAAGCTAAGTGTATTATCCCTACCTACGAGTGATGGAGACCAGTGCTTGCAACTAGTCAGTTTTTGTACCTTAACGCTTACGTATCAATACCCTCCAAAAGTCAACATACCATTTGTCAATGGAGAAAACTCATGGCCTTGGATTAAAAAGTGTCAACATTATTTTTCAAGTTTACATAGTGCTCAAGAGATAGAACGTAGGAACAACCATTCTCTATACAGGGGATAAACTAATGTGTGGTATTAAGGTTGGCTCACGTAGTATGAAAACATGAACTAGGGCGATTACAAAGAAGAAATATATAGTAGGTTCAAATATCACAACCTAACAGACACAATAAAGAATTTAAAAAGTTGAAGCAAGAGAACAACTTGTCCAAATATTAGGAGAGGTTCAAGGGATAGAGGTTAATGGGTGGCTTTATGAATAAACTAGGCACCAACCATCCGATGAATATTGAAGCCTATGGTGTTTTTCAAGGTGCAAGGCTTACTTGGAGACATGATATTCATCAAATTTTGTAGAAATTGACTTCCTCTATGTTAAATAGTTTCTTCACCGATCAACACCCGCATAATATGTCTACTAATGTGAAAAAGCAATTGAGAGACATGTTCTCATTGTCGGCAACACTGGATCATGGGACTCCTATGGGTTTCGCTATGTTACCTTATGCTTTCAAAGAGCTCAATTAGGTGTTATACTTAGACTAGTTTGACATTGCTTGGAGTCGCTTCGTTCTTCTTTATGTTTTATGTTGTTTTTTTTCCTCTTATTTGTAGCAAAAAAATGGCCATCTTTGTTTTTAATTGGTTTTAAATAATTTTTAACTCTCTTTTTAATAGTAATTATCTTTATAAAATGATCTAACTTTTGTGATGTACATGAATTTGCTTATGAACACCCACGTGCCTAAATGTAAATTCGAAAAACTAAATCTCATGGTGTTAATTAAAAAAAACACTTAAAACTATAAATAATCAAACGACATATACATAAAATGATTTTTTTTTTTGTAATTTATATTGAATTAATAATTGTGGATATTATCATGAATTTGATAAGTTCTAAGAAGACAACATTAAGACGACAAGCAGGCTGCTGCAAGAAGCAGAACTCGTGGGTTGACATGGATGCTTATCATGGTCGAAGTCAAATTAATGCATGTTTTACGTCTGGCTTAAAAAATTCAATCAAATAGAATTTGAAAGTTTCCCAGAATCCAAAGAAGCCGCCTCAGTCTTATATATAAATATAAATACCCTGCGACGTCCATAAACACATCAGTTAATTTAAAGTTATAGAAGGAAAACAAAGAGAAAGAAACGAAAGAGATCAGAAATGGCAACCATATGCAAAGGTACCTTTTTCTTTTCAAATTAGTATATTTGTTAATACAATTAAGTAGGATTGGTTATAATTTGAGTTAATTACTAGACTAACTAAATATAATGTGTCCATATGTATATATATATATATATGTATATATATAATGGGGTGCAGGTAAGAATTCGTGGCCAGAACTTGTTGGGAAAAACGGAGATGAAGCAGCGGAAATCATAAAGAGAGAAAATCCTAACATTGTTGATGCCATTGTGATTTTGGAAGGAACTGCAGTGATTGAGAACTTTAGGTGCGATAGGGTTTGGGTTAGGGTCAACGAGTGCAGGATTGTTACTGAAGTTCCTACAATAGGCTAAAATTGTTCTAATTGCGTTTGTAATTTTATTTTCTTAATTAATATATATATGTCTATAAATATAATATTGTAATACTCTCAAAATACTATAATAGAATAATAAATAAATAAATAATATATTTAAATTTATTTATTTTCTATTTAAGCATATCTCTTTTTTAAAAGAACATTTTGCATAAATGTTATTCTAACTTTACATTTTTTAGTATTTTTTATTTATAATATACTTTTTCTTTAAATATCTTGAGCATCATACAGAGGTTGAAGTTAGAGAACTAGCTGATGTTTCTTGGAGATTCACGTGAATATAATAATTGTGAAAATCCTACTCAGGATTTCTTCTTTTTTTTTTTAACATAAATTTATGGCTATGCAGCATATTATTGTAGAACATCAAAATTTATGGCCAAGAAAATCTGACCCTTATCATATTGAATTGCTTGTCTGTTAAAAAATGAGGAGATTATGTGGAAACAAAGGACTTAAATTTCATGCTCAAACATTTGGATAATAATAATTAAGATAAATGATTCTCTTTGCAATCAGGTAATAAGATTATGGATCGCCTTTTGCACTTTATTCTATTGGTAAAAATCAACGACTTGTTTAATACCAAGACAGTTTGATAGAAATTTTTTATCACAAAAAAAGTTGGTGCCCCCTTCAGATATGTTTGTTTGGAAGCAATAAGGGATGTATATTATATGAAAATATTGGTTTATCACTTGCCTTATTATCTTAACAAAACTAGATTAACATCATTTTCTTCAATAATTTCAACAATTAATTCTGGAGTCAAAAAAATATGCATATATTACCTAAAGTTAAGTGTTTTTACTGATATGTCATATGCAAAATATCCTTCCTCCAACATAGTGGAGAATTATATCTTTTTTACCTTATAGATTCAATATATGTGAAAGACATGGAAACATTTTTGCATCATGTGCTTGTCAAATAAGTGTGGTATCTAAACCCTCTTTATTAAAAATCATTGAGAAACATTTTAAAAATAAAAAATAAAAAATATATACATTCATCAATCAAAGAATATATATACACCAATTATAATACTTCATAGATAACTTTTTTATGAAAATACATATGGGAGCACAGTTCGACTCGAAACTACAATCTTATATAGAAGAAGGGACATACTAACTATTAAGTTAAGTAGTAGTAATAAACTATTGACAAATATGATAGGACAAACTGATGATTGATTAGTCTACTTTCTTTTATATGATTGTATTGGTTTTAAAAATTAAGAATTATGATCACTTTGGTAATTTGGTGGTCTCTCAACTAGTTGGTTTTCCAAGATTTCAATAGGGAACTCATTGACATTATCCTAATGTTAAGAGCTTAGCCTAGTAATAGGAACAAATTCAAAGGGTAGGTTTCAATTAAGATTTTCGAATGTTTCTACAATTTCTGTTTTATTATACACTGGTGTACTAGAAAGTACATATCACAATTGTATTGTCTTGTGCATGAATACTACCGTTACCTCATTTCTTAATTGGTTGAGGTAATAGTATTCAAGGATACAGATGCCTACTGAAATCAATGAGAAATATTATAATATTTTCATTATTCTTTCCCTATTTTTTATGTTATCTCACTCTATAGCTCTACTTTCTTTAGTCTCTCTCTCATTTTTCCTTGTTCTCCCTAATATTTTTTTGTGGCTATTAAATTTCATGAGCCAGAATCCTGATAAACTAATATTAGAGTTTGACAAACCTATGAAGATCATTTCTTCCATTGTCAAGTGATTAAGAACAAAGGAGAATCTATCTTGACAAGTACCCGATGAGTTAACCTAATGCAGGAGTCTTGGATAGACATGAGCAGAGGCTCCAAAACTCTATGATTGACTATGAAATTGTAGATTCCAAGTTGGAGGAAGTGTTGGATGTCAAATTTGATGCAAATTTGGATGCTAAGTTTGTTTATAACAAAGTCTAACTTTAACTCGCCATGATCAGAACCCTTACTAAAAACCCTCATTGCTCCACTTTTCAAGTTGTCCTTTAAACCAACAAATCATAAAGGCTCCACATTTTTCTCCACAAACTTAGCTATCTCTACTAGCATCTCACTAGTTCTTACACTAACCTCCAAGTCTGCCTTATGGACTGTAAGCTAAGTGTATTATCCCTACCCCACAAGTGATGGAGATCAATGCTTACAGCCAGTCACTTTTTGTACCTTAATGCTTACAAATCAACACCCTGCAAAAGTCATCATATCCTTCTTTAATGTAGAAAACCCCTAGGTTTGGATTAAAAGGTGCCAACATTATTTTTCAAATTTACATAGTGCTTAAGGGATAGAACATGATAACAACCATTCTCTATCTGGATATAAACTAGTGAGTGGTATTAAGGTTGGCTCATGCAACATGGAGACATGAACTAGCGCGATTTCGAAAAAGAAATTTATCTGTAGGTCCGGATATCACAACCTAGCAAATATAATGAAAGAGCTTTAAAAGTTGAAGCAAGAGAACAACTTGCCCAAATACTAGGAGCTATTCAAGGGATAAAGGTTAATGAGGAGCTTCATGAATAAACTAGGCACCAGCCATTCGATGATTATTGAAGCCTGTGGTGTTTTTCAAGGTGCGAGGCTTATTTGGAGACATGACATTCATAAGCTTTTTGTAGAAATTGACTTCCTCTATGTTAAATAGCTTCTTCACTATATCAACACCCACATAATATGTCTGCTAATGTGGAGAAGCAATTGAGAGACATGTTCTCATTGCCTGGCAACACTGGCTCATGGGACTCCTATGGGTTTCACTACGTTACTTTATGCTCTTAAAGAGCTCAATCAGGTATTATACTTAGATTAGCGTGATATTGTTTAGAGTTGTTTAGTTCTTCTCTATGTTTTTTGTTGTTTTTTTTCTCCTTTTTGCAGCAAAAAAAATGACCAACTTTGTTTTTATTTGGTTTTAAATTATTTTAACTTTCGTTTTACTTGTAATTACTTTTAAAAAATGATCTAATTTTCGTAATATTTATGAGCGTGCTTATGGAACACCCACGTGGTTAATGTGAATTTGAAAAATTAAACCACACCATATTAATTATAAAAAAAAAAAAAAAAACTTAAATTATAAATAGTCAAATGGTATAAACAGAAAATGATTTTTCTGTAATTCATATTGAATTAATAATTGTGGATATTGACATGAAGACAACATTAAGACGACAAGCCGGCTGCCGCAAGAAGCAGAGCTCGTGGGTTGACATGGATGCTTATCATGGTTGAAGTCAAATTAATGCATATTTTACATCTGGCTTAAAAAATTCAAGCAAAGTGAATTTGAAATTTCCCAGCATCCAAATAGGCGGCCTCAGTCTATATACAGATATAAACAGCCCACGATGTCCATAAACTCATCACTTGATTTAAAGTTATAGAAGGAAAAATAAGAGAAAGAAACCAACGGGATCAGAAATGGCAACCACATGCAAAGGTAGCTTTTTCTTTTTGGAATTAGTTTATTTGTTAATACAATTAATAGCATTAATTATAATTTGAGTTAATTACTAGACTAACTAGATATAATGTGTGTGTATATATATATATATATATATGTATGTATATATATAACGGAGTACAGGTAAGAATTCATGGCCAGAACTTGTTGGAAAAAACGGAGATGAAGCAGCAGAAATCATAAAGAGAGAAAATCCAAACATTGTTGATGCCATTGTGATTCCGGAAAGAGCTGCAGTAATTCTGAACTTCAGCTGCGAGAGGGTTTGGATTAGGGTCAACGAGTGCAAGATTGTTACTAAAGTTCCTACAATAGGCTGAAATTGTTCAATTTCGTCTGTAATTTTATTTTCTTAATTAATGTATATTTATTATGTCTATGTTTATGAATAATAATATTATGATATCTCTCACAATACCATTGGCTGGTTTTCGAACTGACCATTTAATTTCTGTAATCAAATAATAAATAAATAAATAAATCATACATCTATATTTATTTATCTTCTAATACAAGCATGACTCCATTTTTTTTTTTTTATTTAAGAAAAATATTTTGGATAAGACTGGGCCTTTCCTAAAAAGTCAGTTTCCAGCATTTGACCTTAGAGAACAAAATTCTACATGAAGGGAAGGGAATAAGCTCAAAGTGTAGTTTTCTTTTTAGGGTTTCAGAATTTTTCTTTTTAGTCTTCTTGTTTTTGCAGTTTTTTATTCTGTTATGCACTGGTAGCAGAGGTTGCAGCTATATTCTCATCTGTAGAAATATTACCAACGAATCAAATCAGATTGTTCTATTTCTCAATCTTTTTTACTTGCTCCTATAGAATCAAGGAGGAAAAATTGGGAAAAAAAAAAGAAATCAGTCATTCACAATTATTAATGAAGGATTCCTCGAAAGATGTTAAGAATCAGTAATCAATTTTAAAAATCAAATGGGTTCGATCTTATGCATGCGCAAGAAAGGTAATCAAAAAAGAAAAAAAATAATTTTTTATTTTATTTTTATCACTTAGGAGCCCAATTAAATGAATGAGACGTATCATAGTATTTCCATTATTCCTCCCCTACTTTTCCTCTCTTCTCTCCCTCTTTATCTCTCTACCTTCTCCTCTCTCTCACTCTGTTCTCCCCATTTATTTCTGGCGTGGCTGTTAAAATCCATGAGCCAGAATAATCCTAACACCAGATTAGCCAACAAATACTGTAGGAATACAGGGCAATACTCTCCTAGTCAACCCTCATTTCTACCCAAGTGGTATTGTTTGGCTGACACGTCATGTGGTTAGATATGGATAATTTTCAATTAAGATTCTTGGAAACTAAGCAAAGAACGCAAGGTTTTGCGCTCAGCAAGTAGGCACATTTACAAGCCAACTTCTGCCACAATAGAAGATACTGAAAATATTTATGGTCTGTATCTAAGCCAAATCATAATTTACTCATGGGTTTCTAGATGAATGTGATGCAAAAAAAGTTATTCATGACATCAATTATGCCCTAGAACTGCAAAAATAAAAAATAAAATAAAAAAAAAGAAAAAAACAATATATTTCTTATTGTATTCA